TTTAAACGTCAGTAAAAACGCACGAGACCTGAACTGAACTAATCTTAAACTTGTTTTAGAATAAATTCTGCGTGATAAAACTTCCAGCTGAGTTGGGTCAAAACTCATCTTTAGTGGGAGCTGTTAAAATGATCTAAGTGCAAAATGAAAGAATTCGTGTTTCCCATCTGTTGAAAACGTTCATTAGAAAAGCGGGTCGATACAACGGATGGATCAATGGGCTCCACAAAGTGGGAGACTCCTGACCTTAAAATCCAACATGGACGCCTCGTGCATGAGAGGATAGCTGCAAGGATTAACCAAGTCTTTTCACTTCTGTTGATTTGTTTCTCATTAAACCAGCACTGCACATCTTCCATGAGGAAAGACGTCGCTGCAGTGATTAAATGTGTAAATAGATAAATCTATTGTTGGCTTGTTTAACGGTCATCAGCCTGGTCAGCAACAGGAACAAGATTGAGTTAAAACGATGTCATTCCCAGACCAGGGTCCCATCTTCTAAAGTAAATAAAACCCAGTAAACATCCACAACACATTTGATTTCTTTTAGCACACGAAGGACTGTTTTCTGCCCGTGTGTATTTTTCAAAACAAAACTTGTACAGTTCTATTTATCAGCATTTATTAAATAAATGGGAGGTTAAGATTTTGACTGAGGACTTCCTGTGAAATATATAGTACAATATATTGTATATACTAAATATAGTATATATAGTCTCATGTATTGAGGCTTTTTCCTTACACTTTGTTATGATTTATATATTATATCTGAATGTACGAGTAAAAAGTATCTTTAAAACAATGAGATAAAACACATTAAATGTGTGCTCTTAAAAAAAATTGTTTCACATCTTCAAACCCAAATTTATCATAGTGTACAGGAACAGTTTGAATATTTATCCTGCCATAAGTAACCATGTGATGTTTTTAAGCAGAGTTAAAAAAAAAAGATTGTACTTTTTGACCTTTGATCTGTCAAACTGCATTTGAACTCTCATCGTTGTGACGGTTGAGAAAAAAAAAAAGAAAAAACTAAAAAATATTCACGAGAAATATTTAAAATCAACATTGAAAACTAGATAAATGACAGAATTTCTGCTCATCTAAACGATCGATTTTGTTCTGCTTTAATGTTCTCATGTTTCTGTCCCAACAATGACAAAAATATAGTTTGGATTTATGATTTTATGTCATTTTTAATATACATATTCCCTGAATTCACCTGAACGTGACGATCAATGTTTATATACTTTACCCAACAAGCCAATTCTCATATTTTAAATTTGACCGGAGGACACAGAAACTGGAGCAGTGTGTGGTTGTTGCAGACTCACTCACTGGTTTGGATGAGAAATAGGACAAAATGCACACAAAACTGCATTCTGCAAACAAAAAGAGAAGAAACCATTTCTAAAAATACCTCCTGGTGTGTGTGGCTTCCCAGCAGCTGGAACGAGCTCCTTCCTCCAACAAGCCAAACTCCATTTACATAAAACTGTGCCCACGCAGAAAAACTGACTTTGTTCCATCCTCCCAGATGCAAACTTGTATTTATTTAGCGTTCACAGCAAACATTACATCGCATCTCTGCAGCTTGAAACTTAAAGTCCTGAAGCATCCTGCAACACGGGGTTAAGAGGCGTTTACAATTTGTCTGGAAACTAAAACGGAGCTCGGAAAAGCTGAAAATCTTTACTCAAGAAAGAGCCGCTGCTCTGAGAAACTAAAAGAGCAACTTTATCTCCGATTTAAAAAGCACAGAAAATACAAAAACACCGTTTAAAATGTCATTTATATGCAGAAGCACATGCAGTCATGACAATTTAAAGAGCAGCTCAAGCAGTTCATATATTTAATCGTGTATTTATGAAAAGGGGGGGAAATGATTTGATGTGTTCACTAGTCTGGCGCAGAAATCCTGCTGTCTTTTGTTAAAGTTAAGTCCTAAATGTTGCAGAAGACTTCCAGTTCAGTAGACGTGTGGAGCTCCCAGTCACAGAGTGGACCCATTTTTATAAATAAAGAAGCTCAAACATGTTTGTGTTGATTGTTAGAACCGATTTGTCCAAGCCCGGAGCTCTACTTTTCCTTAACACCCCCCCATTACACACAGGAAGTGCATAATAAGTGGAAACAAACACGGGAAGCAGGACATGCTGCTGCGTTGTGAAGCTATTTTTCTTCCCCTCTCCGTCCATCATGCACAGAAGACTGCACCAACATCAGGTGTTATCAGGAAAACACCCCACAGGAAACACAACTCCACTTTAAACCTCACCCTATCCAACATTTAAAAAGTTTTGTCAGCTTTTCCATAAATACAAAAACTTTGAGCGAATCCATTCCAGCGACAGCCCGACGTGCAGTCGTCCAAACTGCGGCTCATAAATACATCATCTGACCGCAGCCATTGTTGTTTGGAGCGCAGCCCCTTCCTTCCTATCCTCTCCGCTCACATTTAATCTGCGCGTTATCTGCAGAGGATTCAAGGAAAACTGTAATTTTCAAGGCGACGTCGAAACCTTCAGGTCCACAAACACACAGAAGTCTCATCAGTCTGTGACGTTCTGCACGTTGGCTCGAAGGGCAACGAGCAAACAAAGGCCTTAAAGGAGAACTGCAGTATCTTTATTTTAATTAACATCAACACATTATACAACCACATTCTCACTATTAGAAGAAATCATCATAATGACCTCGGACCTGTGTAAAATCAAACTTATAGAAAATGTTCTTTTAGTGTTTCGGCTTCATTTTGTCTCAGTTTGAGATTTAATGGGAGGCACGGCGTGAAAAAACATTTATTAAGAACATCTGCCTCTAATCCTTGACGCCTGCCCTCGACCTCAACAGGAAACACGACTAAAGACTTTTCAATAAGAATTTCACTTCATGTGAACTTAACTTCCCAATTTAAAGTAGAAAAAAATACAACAAATCTTTAAAAATGTACAAAAAACAAAAGTACTTGTGTATTCAGCATGCCGGCTACCTGACCTACATTATTATTACACAGAAATTATTATATAGTAGAAAATATTCTCCACTACAAAGACTGGTAATTATAAAACCTAATAAGAAGTCTGCACCCGTTCACATAATCATCCAATAAATAATTAACTGTGGATTGGAAAAAAATGAATATTTAAACATATTTAAAAAGGCGAGGTGCCAGTCGATCACAGGACGACAACGCCATGCTGACATCAACTAAAACTATATACCCAACGTGCACGTGGAAGAAACCAAGTAGCTGTGCACACTAAAATAAACTGCTGGGATACATCATCTCCTTTTTCCTTTATAATAATCAGATCAAACCATTATTGCAGAGTCTAGACCAGGGCTGTTCAACTGGCGGCCCGGGGGCCAAATCAGGCCCACGGGTGAGCGCAGTTCGGCCTATCACTGGGTTCATTTTCAAATAAAACTAGATTTAAAACCATAAAACAAACTTTTTAACGACAACAGCTGCTGGATGTCCGCTCCCTGAGCTCTTGTCATTCAGTAACTGTGCCCCCCCGGGTGATTTAGTCGAATGGTCCTAGACCCCAATACTTTACTGTCGACATCGTTCACTGCCTTTACAATAAAGCCATAAACTAACTTTGGCAACATATTTGACATTAATCTACTTTAATACAAATCCTAAATCATGACAAAAATACTGCCCGACTGTTAGAAAACAGCCTAATCTCTTAAAAATATCCTCTGTTAGTCAACAATCCTTCATTTTTCTGTTCTAGACTTAAAATATGTTGTTTTTTTTCTTGCGGAAGTGGAAAACACTCCAAGAAAAGACCCAGGAATGTGAAGACCATTCTCAGCAGCTCTTATCTGCGGAGCGGAACCAGAAGACATCTTTCATTCTGAAGTTTCCTCGATGACTCGAGATCTTCAGTCCTGGCTCAGATCAGATGTCTCGTTAAGCAGCCGCTCGAGGCCCGTGTTGGGTTCCTCTCACGGCGTGTCCTTGGAGACGGTCTCTGACACCGGATAGTGTTTGTAGAGAACAGGTGCTCACCGCATCAACCGGCCGAACCGCCGCATGCATTATTTACTGACATGAGCTCAGAGGAGGCCGGATCATTTCTCAAAGTTTGAAGCGAAGCTACCGCACAGCAGAGAGGGCTGCGAGACCGAGTCGTTCATCAGAATATTGAGACTTAGAAAAGAAAGTTTTGTCAGCTCTGCTTTAACGAAAGCCTGAAGGGAACAAGCCTGGAAATAGCTCGAAGCTAAAGCTCGCAGAGCGACCATCTGTTCGGCCTCAACAAACCTCACAAGCTAAACATTAACCGAAGAGGAAGACTGAGAAATCCAGCTACACTTGCAGCTCCGCGGTTTCCATCAGCTTCGGCCCACATCACAAACCCTCGGCTGCTTTAGCTGCTTTTACCTCAACAGCTAAAACCCCTCGGGTAACAGCCGATGCCAGACAGAGCTGATGCTCAGAGTCGGGCTCATCGTTGCTCAGTTCGTTAATTAGCATTAAACATGAAAGCGAGCCGAGTGAACCGTTCAGTTTATCAAGATTCTTCATCATAACTCAAAAAGGGACTGGACGTTCTGAAAAAAAGTACCATGACCCCCCCCACCCACCCCCCCCACCCCCACCACCACCACACCCAGCAGTTAGAACGACTCGCGTTCAGAAAACGTCTCATAAACAGACACACACACACACACACACACACACACACACACACACACACACCCTGCATGTTTTCTTATCTGAATCATGCAGCCTTTAGTCTACCAGCTGTTCAACAAAGTGCAGCCTGAACGCAGCTCGGATGGTTTCAAGTGACACTGCATGCTCACAATGCTTGGGGGGTGGGGGTGGGGGCGTGGGGGGGTCAGGACAAATGAAACCAGCTCAGCCAAACGGTTTTATTGTGAGAACGTCAGAAAACTGATATGACGTTCAGCTGGGATCTCATGGAGAGGATCCATCCCCGCAGCTGCTCAACACGCTGACTGGGAGGAAAAACACCCACCTGTGACGTGTCCACATCATCGCCGGCGCCCCTCCCTCCTGACTGACTGATGGGGGCTCCTCTGTCAGGTGATAAGGGTCTGTAGCCGATGAGGGGGATGTCGCTGGACTCCACCCCCGGCAGGTCATATCCACCTGTTCGCAGGTTACGGTGGAGCATGGTGCCGGCTGCAGACAGGAGCAGCAGTTAGAACGACTCGCGTTAAGAAAACGTTTCATCATCAGACAAACATGAAGTTCCTGCAGGAACTCAAAACAATTTAAATAAAAAAAAAAAGGGGTCGGGTTAGTCCAGATCTTTCAGGATGAATAAACGCTCGGTGTGTTTACGATTAAACCTCACGGAGCTCTGCTTCCTGTTCCACGCTCAAAGCAAGAAAAGAACTTTTAACATTTTAAATGTTCATATTGAGCCAGCGCCACCAGTTCTGGTGCCTGAACGTGCAGTGGCACAGAAAATCATCAGCTCTGGACTCTATCAGTCTGAAAACAGTCGGTAAAGAAACAAATACCGTACTTTACGGTGTAGAAGTTGCAGTTGTTTTGGTTTTTTTTTTGCATAGATTTGTCCTGCGACTTATACGCTGAAGCGACTTTTTGTTTTTGTCCCCACATTCATTAACATTTTTATTACAGACGCTTTAAATTTTGAAGAACGGCATCAGCGAGTTCTCCCGTGCGCGCTCGCTTCACTCAGCTCGGCAGAGGAACGCTGGAGAGCTAGCAGCTCTGGCCGCAGTGGATGGATGGATGGATGGATGGATGGATGGATGGATGGATGGATGGACGGACGGACGGATGGATGACGCAGCCCAGGCGAAATGAAGCCGTTTGACCATTAACGTGCATTTATTAAAGGAAAAGTTCACCTGAGACACACCTTTGCTATAATGTCGAGCAAACTATTGTTTTTAGATATTAATCTTGTTAAATCTCTAAGAACTACAACAGTGAGTCCTCCCGTGCGCGCTCGCTTCACTCAGCTGGTGCAGGCGGAGAAACGCTGGAGAGCTAGCGGCTCCGGCCGCGATGGATGGAGCTGAAAACTTTATTGATCAGCCGGATGAAACACCTTATCATCATCAGGACTTTTGTCATAAAGACGTTTAAAATTTAATAATTCATTTCACCCACTGCCTTGAAAGCCAAATGTTTTAAACGAACCTTGCCTGATCCGTTAGCGCTCAGAGTGCGTGTTAGGAGCAACTCTCAGCTACCACCACACTGACCGCTCCGTTTCAGTAAAACATGCCGACATGTGTGCCAAGGCTGATTAGCGGTGGCAGCCATTTTGAGTTAGGTTGACTCCAAAAGGTTAATCCATTTCGTGAGATGTTTTGCTAACAGGGACAGGGTTGAGTGTAATCTCCTGTCAGAGCGGCGGGCGATGATCGAGAACGCTCCTGCAGGCAGAAGGCCGTGGTGATTTGTTTAACACGTCCCCGGGGCTGGATCTGCGTGGCCACCTCGCCCTCGGTGCTCGCTGTAAAAACTGGCGACGTGTAGACGGAGCTCGAAGCAGCGAGGCGGTGTCATACATGTACGAGCTGACATCACAGATAACCTGAAGCGTTTGAAAGAACACTGGCCGTCTGTGCAGCAGGAGGAAACACGTTCCCTTCCTGAATTTTGTCGTTTTCGTTCTTTGGTTTGGATTTTTCTGCAAGTTGTTGTCCAGTTTTCTTCGGCCACGTTCTCCTGTTCAGCCTGGAAAGTTTTAGGGTTTTGTTTTCCACGTTGCTGCTCACACCTGTCTGCAATTTGCCATCAACACACCTGCGCTGCATTCATCAATCACCTTCCTGCTCCTTCTACTCCTGGTCAGGCTGTTTGTTACCGCCTGCTTGGGCACGTGCTCGGTGCTGTGGGAGTTTTCAGAGGTTTGACCTCATCCATCTATTAAACGTTTTGGATCTCATGTTCAGAATGTTAAGAGTTTTAAGGACAAAAAAAAAATAATCTACAGATTCCTTCAGTCTGGTTTTTCCAGGTGAGACTGTCTGGAGCTGAAACTAAATAAAAAGTTTAATTTTATTTTATTCAAATCAACTCGTGGTTGGTTTGAGCAACACTTCTCTTACACAACCTGCTCTGTTCAGAGGAGACATCAGCAGCAACTGCCACGGCTCAAAGACTCCTATTCAAAGGCTCTGACCACACGCGCGCGCGCGCACGCACAGGGCTGTAAGCTCGTGCTCGCCTCAGTAAAAAAAACGCTGCAGAAATGTTCTGGTTGTCAGATGAGAATATGAGGCTGTTCAAGTTTCTGCGCGCTGACACTCCCGTCGGAGAACACGCGCGCGCGCACTCACGGAGCAGCGAACCTTCTTCCTCCTGTGACTAACGGCAGCCATGAACATCAATAAAACTGGGGACGTTGGACCAGAGCAGAGAAACAAACTGGAAACCAACTCACTGACAGATGAGAGGCATCCGCGGGGCGCGAGCTCTCCAGGATCAGCTGATGAAGGGAAGGTTGCTGGTGCGATGGCGCCGGCTGGGGCTCAGCTGGGGGGAGTCGCACCCATCTTCACGGCCAGCACGGGTCTCTCCTCACCCTCCACCGACGGTCTCCTCTCTATCTGCCGCCTCACACTCCGCAGCTTTCAGCAGCTGATGGCGCACTCCTCTGCGCCTCCTTCTCCGCTCCTCTGCGCCTCCCTCCCCTGCTCCTCTGCGCCTCCCTCTCCGCTCCTCCCCCCTCCCCTAACGTCGCACTTCCTGTGTGCTGCAGGGCGGCTCCCGGACCAAACCGCTGCCAGGGCGCACTGACGGTCGGCTCACGCGCACAAGCTCGCGCGCTTCTGTTGCCGCAGCAAAGTCTGAACTTGAACTTGATCATTTGGAGAAATTAAAACAAGCCTTCAGCATAAACTCATTAAAACTTTATTCAACTTATTTTTTAAACTTCATATTTTATTTTTGTAAAAATGACTGAGCTAAAGCTAAAAGCAGCAAAACTGCAGTCACAAGTACCAAAAAGCTATCTATTATTATTATTACTATTATTACATAATTATTATTAAAATACATCCAAGCTAAAGTGTGTTACAGCAAAGGTTATCATGTAATGAAAGACAGCTAAAAGTAGCAAAATAGCTACATGCAACAAACATCTTGAGGATAAAAAAAAGCAACAGGCTGAAAAAGGCTAATGCTAAAATTAACAAAAAGACTAGTTAGAAGCTAAAAGCAAAATGATAAATATACTTTTACAGAATAGCTAAGTCATAAAAGCAGAGCTAAAAACATCAAAGGCTAGCCAGAAGCTAAAAGTAGCACAAGGGTAGCTAAAACAGCAAAGTTTGTATTATTCTAACTAGAAGCTAAATGTAGCAGAAAAGTAGCTTGAGGCTAAAAATAACAGACAAAAACAGAGCTGGAGTTGAAACATATTTTAATGTTTTAAAGGAAGTGAGAGCTCTATATTGTTGAAATAGTTAAGGTTTTTATAATTTTTGTACTTTTAAAAATATTTAAGTCATTGCAACATGTCAGAAATGAGCTGAATGTCTCAATATATGAAGAGCTTAATCAGCTCAAAGTCTTCAGAGATAGTTACCTAAAACAACAACAACAACAACAACAACAACAACAACAACAACAACAACAACAACAACAACAACAACAACAACAACAAC